GCCGGGTGGGCGAGCCAGGGTCTGGAGGTGATGATTTGGGAAAGCTGCCTCCTGCATATCTGCCTGTGGTTTCCTCCTGCTTGGTTCCCGGGGGCTTGGGGAGGGTGGGTTCTTTCATGGGTTTATTTTCTTTGTCAGCTCTCTCTCACACAGCTTTATTTTCCTTCCTTTTGTCTCGGGTGCCTTCCTTTCTCCTCCCTGGGCTCAGCCCCGGCCCCGCTGCCTCCCTTTCCTGCCAGGTTGACCTGCTGGCCCGGATGCTGGCCAGGATGCTGGCCCAAGCCCTGGGAGCTGGGACATCGACCCCCGCAGGGACCAGGGCCACCACCGTGCCCGGCACCTCGCTTGGGGCACATGGATTTTAAGGGAAGGCAAAAGCCCACGGCTGGGGTCTGGGAGCCCCCATGCTCGGGGGTCCCTGGGGCTCCTGCCCCAGCAGGGGGGAGCTGGCTGTCAGCATTAGGGTGGGATCAGGCGGAGTCCTGCACCCCGGAGGCTCCCGCTGCGTTGCTGATCCTCGCCTCTGCCTCGCCTGCTTCTTCCCACCCCTCTTCCCAAAATGAAAGTCGGTGCTGTGAGTAGGAGGGCTGGGGGAGAGTAGAGCAGGAGCTGCCCTTGGTGCACTTCTTGCCTGCAAAAGACCAGTAAATACAGGTGGTTTCTCAGGCCATCCCCGCTCCTCACCTGGGAAATAGTACTTTAGCTGAAAGGCTGACCCCCAAACCCGCATTTTTGGGGGATACTCACCACGTTGGAGGGGTTACTCCTCCGCAGTGCAGTTCCCACGTGTGATTTCTGCCCTGAAGGCAAAAATAATCTGGGGAGGCTTTGTCCATCTGTTGAGTTTTGTGAAACGTGCAAAAAATACCTGCCTCCGGAGTGGAGGGAGAGGTGGGTGTTGCTGGAGCTGAGCACAGCGACTGCGTGAAGTGAGCCCATGCTGGGGCTGGAGGTGCCATGGGCTGTGGTGGGATGCCCATGGGATGCAGGGTGCAGCACAGTTCCCTGGAGCCCGGGTTTGGGAGCGAAGGCGAATCCTGTGTGGTCTGTGACCTGAGCCGCTTGGTTCGGGTGCACCTGAACGTGGGCTGGAGGGGAAGAGGTGAATAAAGGGGCGTAGATAGGACAGTGTCAAGGCGTTCCTACTGCTGGTGGTGTTTCCCAGGAGTGCCATCCGTGGAGGTGCTGCCCAGTCCAAGGTGATGTCTGGTTTCTGCTCCATCACTCGCTCACGGGGCGGCCCAGCCCTGCTGGGCTTGCACATGCAGTTACGGGCACAACTGGGTGTTGCTGCTGGCTGGGGCTGTGGTTGTCAGCCAGGAGGTTGGGCTCGCTCGACTTCATGGGGCTGCGGCAGCCAGGGGTGGATGGGGCCGTCTGCTGCCCCGCTGATCGCTGCCACTGCTCACCCTGTCCTTGCGTGTGGCTGTGTTCTGCGCTCGCCTGGGGAAGGAGAACGCCGGGAAGAGGAGAGCGATTACCCCTCCAGTGCCAGTGGCCTCATGCTGTTGGGAACAGCTAGAAGAAGACAGGCATCCTCTGGCTGCAGAAGTCTGTCCTTCTTGTGCAAGCTAGGAATTCTCCCTTGCAGGTGGGTGGGAGGCAGTGGCAGGTGGTCCCTGGCAGAAGGGCAGCGTGGGGAGGCTTGGTGGGAGCGGTGCTGCGCAGCTGAGACGTTGGCCTGGCGGGGGAGGATGGGGAAAGGCTTCTGCCTGACCTGCTGCACGGTGACAGTGTGCCCAGGGCTCCGGCTGCCTCAGCCTTCCTCCTCGTCTCCTGGTTTTTATTACTGGTTTCCAGACTTTATGTGAGAAAAGGGAATTCACTGATGTCAGAGATGCCTCTTAACCTGAACTCCACCTTTGAAGGGGTGGGAAGGCTCTGTTTAGGGGATGCGACCGAAAACTTCTCAAGACCTGTACTCCTGCAGTTGAGCAGTCAGTGGCTGGGGTCTGGGCAGTTGATGCCACCTTTGCCGGCGGCGGGCGGCATGGGCTGTAGTTCCCGGGTACATAAAGCTGCCCTGTGCCGCGGCAGCCTGCTTAGCACGTGGTGAATGTGCCAGCTGTTTGGTGTCTATTTTTATATCCTCTCCCTTCGCGTCGACCCTCGCCCGGACGCCTGCCTCCGTCTGCACGCGGGGCAGGAGCGGTGTGGCTGGTGATGGCCTCGCCACGC